GGTCTGATGTATGCAAATTATCGAGCCAAATTTTAAGACTATGAGCAGTTGCTTTTTCTTTAATTGTAACGTGAAATAGAATTTAGTTTTCTTTGTTCATTTGTTTCGTAAATTCATCAAATTTCAATTTGCTTCTTCTCGTTTTTTGACATTATTCTTTCCTCTTTTGCTCAGGCACAATTGGCCTGAATCATTTACTTATGTTGAATTCAAATTCAGATGCTTATTTAAGTACTTTTACTCACAACTTTTACTTGACAATTTTTTCAGTTCACTTGTGAAATTAAATTTTCAAATTCTTTTTGTTATTGAGTATATTGTGATTAAATAGACCTTATACAATCTATAAGATTTCTGGCATTCTTGGCTTTTCACCATAAAGAGCTGATTCCAAATTATATTTAACATCCTTTAAAAGGTATTTCAATATTTCTTTTTCTTCCATTTTGCATTTGACTTTATGCAAATTGATTAGTATGTGATTTCTTTTAACATTTCTAACCGGAAGAAGCATAGAAAATGAAGGGAAAATAAAAATCAATTTGCAATTAGAGTAAATTAAATCAATTTATTGAATGATTTTGATAATTTTTTAAATTCTGAAATAAAATTGACTAAAAGTCAGAAGTCAATGCTCAGTATGGCAAATATCATTATTCTTATGAATATATCAATATCCATAGCTTCAAATCGGTGTCAGAATAAATCAACCCATTGATGGCGCAGTTACGTATTGATCATTAACCAAATAGCGACCATACTTGTCAGATGTTCCCCAATTTAGAGTAGTACCATATTTGTCAGTAAACGGTCCACTAGCAGGTGTTTGTCCTGAAACAGAACCAAACATAGCGATGAGAGCCACCAAGAAAACAGAGGATACAATTTTAATCAATTGCATTTTTACTTTTTTAATGAGTTTTGAAAGAATTGAGAGATCACTTAATTACTATTTAGAATTTAATCTGCAACTGATATCGTTTCAATTTAATCCATTCCCTTTTATACTACTCTTTCAAACATAAAAACGTCCAGGTGCGTTTGTTTAATTACTCAAATATATGTATGAAGATGACATGTTACTTTAGTCATCGGATGAATTGGTTAGTAAAAAATAAAATGCATAATGGATTAATGGATAAATGCAAAGTAAGCTAATTATGCAATGATAACAGAAAAAAGTTTGATTGTACACCTTTCTAGGAAGTTAAGCATCTTGTGATCAAAGCAGTTCCTCTCAAGGTTTTCTCATGTGTTAAAAACATTAAATGTCATTTAGGGTGATTAAAGCTCAAAAATATTTTATAGCAGTTGAAAATGAATAGTTTTGTAACAAAATCGAATATCATTTGACAGAAGAACGATTTGAAAATTGTTAATACATTAAATTACAATAAAATACATTGCAAGACAATAAATTGAAATTCTATGAATTAAAAATTGAACCTCTATCCAATGAGTTTCAAATATTTACAAGACTTTGCCTAGTAATTTTGTCTCACTTTAGTTGGCATTTAATGTTTAACACATACATGATGCTACTCTTTTACGTTGTTTCAAAAAGTTTAATAAATATTTCCATATAGCTCTTATAAGGTGAAATTGATTCAGTTCTCTTCCAGTTATTCCTCTAAGAATATCCCTGCACAATTCACAACTCTATACAGTCAATTCAACTTCAATTCCTCAAAGAATATTTCCAATTAACTCTCAGCTTCCGAAACTGATTCCAACTTATAATTTAAACTTAAAATTTACTGAACTTTACTGTGGTCATTGGATAAATTGGTTAGTTAAAAATCAAATTGATTAGTATGTGATTTCTTTTAACATTTCTAACCGGAAGAAGCATAGAAAATGAAGGGAAAATAAAAATCAATTTGCAATTAGAGTAAATTAAATCAATTTATTGAATGATTTTGATAATTTTTTAAATTCTGAAATAAAATTGACTAAAAGTCAGAAGTCAATGCTCAGTATGGCAAATATCATTATTCTTATGAATATATCAATATCCATAGCTTCAAATCGGTGTCAGAATAAATCAACCCATTGATGGCGCAGTTACGTATTGATCATTAACCAAATAGCGACCATACTTGTCAGATGTTCCCCAATTTAGAGTAGTACCATATTTGTCAGTAAACGGTCCACTAGCAGGTGTTTGTCCTGAAACAGAACCAAACATAGCGATGAGAGCCACCAAGAAAACAGAGGATACAATTTTAATCAATTGCATTTTTACTTTTTTAATGAGTTTTGAAAGAATTGAGAGATCACTTAATTACTATTTAGAATTTAATCTGCAACTGATATCGTTTCAATTTAATCCATTCCCTTTTATACTACTCTTTCAAACATAAAAACGTCCAGGTGCGTTTGTTTAATTACTCAAATATATGTATGAAGATGACATGTTACTTTAGTCATCGGATGAATTGGTTAGTAAAAAATAAAATGCATAATGGATTAATGGATAAATGCAAAGTAAGCTAATTATGCAATGATAACAGAAAAAAGTTTGATTGTACACCTTTCTAGGAAGTTAAGCATCTTGTGATCAAAGCAGTTCCTCTCAAGGTTTTCTCATGTGTTAAAAACATTAAATGTCATTTAGGGTGATTAAAGCTCAAAAATATTTTATAGCAGTTGAAAATGAATAGTTTTGTAACAAAATCGAATATCATTTGACAGAAGAACGATTTGAAAATTGTTAATACATTAAATTACAATAAAATACATTGCAAGACAATAAATTGAAATTCTATGAATTAAAAATTGAACCTCTATCCAATGAGTTTCAAATATTTACAAGACTTTGCCTAGTAATTTTGTCTCACTTTAGTTGGCATTTAATGTTTAACACATACATGATGCTACTCTTTTACGTTGTTTCAAAAAGTTTAATAAATATTTCCATATAGCTCTTATAAGGTGAAATTGATTCAGTTCTCTTCCAGTTATTCCTCTAAGAATATCCCTGCACAATTCACAACTCTATACAGTCAATTCAACTTCAATTCCTCAAAGAATATTTCCAATTAACTCTCAGCTTCCGAAACTGATTCCAACTTATAATTTAAACTTAAAATTTACTGAACTTTACTGTGGTCATTGGATAAATTGGTTAGTTAAAAATCAAATTGATTAGTATGTGATTTCTTTTAACATTTCTAACCGGAAGAAGCATAGAAAATGAAGGGAAAATAAAAATCAATTTGCAATTAGAGTAAATTAAATCAATTTATTGAATGATTTTGATAATTTTTTAAATTCTGAAATAAAATTGACTAAAAGTCAGAAGTCAATGCTCAGTATGGCAAATACTGATATCGACGAACTAAGACGTTGTAAAGATGGCTTGATTGGATGTAAAAGCAGTAAAGCAAGTTGATGGTACATGGACGATTTATAGATGAAAATAGAATTATGTGTAGCAAGATATTACTACACATTGTCTCACATACGGGGCTGTCGAGTCAACAGCAAATAATTACGAGAGGTCTTTCGGTTGTAACTGATTTCAATAGTTAATATTTCGATGCGTAAATACAAGTGCTGTGTACGCTTTTGATTTCTTATCCCATCCAGATCCGACCTTAATTGAATATGAGCTTGTGGTAAACAGAAATCTTACAAACAAACGCAAGAACAGTACTATCGAAACTTTACAAAATCTATCAGCTGTTACCCACTCATATATGACACAGTTAGTGATTTTTAAATCTTGAAAAGTAAGATCAAAGTTACTTTTTCCTTCAAGAGCCAACGAATGGCTGGTTCAAACATCTATGGAGTTATGAAAATATGTAGTATGCGAATTAGAACAATTTTACGTTTATTCAGACTAGTTTAGCTTATTTTGTGCGAAACTAGGCACATTGTCATTTTGAACTCTGCAAAACGAACTGAAATTCAGAGTGTTTTAATTTATGCACAATTTAACACAGATAACTTTTGCTTCTTTTATTGGCGTTAAGAGTTAAACATGAGAAAGCCTTGAACAGCACTGTGTTTGATCATGCGTTTCTTAACTTTCGAGAAAGGTGTGAAAGCAGCAACTATTTTTTCCGTCCTAGCATGATAAGCCTACATTTTGCATTAATTGTTTGCAAATTGGTTACCAAGGAACTTTATGTGACGACCAGAACCATCAAAGCTTTGAGTCTAAATATTTAGAGAATGATAGCCCCTACAATCATTAGATTTTCTCAAATACTGTTATGAATGCATTTCATCTTCAAGTCGCTAAATTTCCTAGTCTTAATTGTCAAATTCAATTAACTTAACTTGTACCAAAAATTCTCCGCACAGGTTACAAGAGGAAAACCAAAATTTTGCACTTACATAAAAGCGTTTCTGAGATTAAAAGATTGAATGGATTGATGGATGGCTTCAGAGCAGTTTAATGCCAAACCAACAAAAAGAACAATTTTCCTGCAAGAATATAATTATACTCTTATAAATCCGGAAATAAATAAAAAAATTTTAGTACCGAATCAGAAAAAAAGCTTAGCTGATCCATTAGCAACTTACCTATCAGGTAAAATCCAGTCCAAGATTTAGTACTAAATGGTGAAGTTGTCCGATTCAGAGTCAGCACTAACTCACTAATGAGACAGAAATTGAATTAATCAGAATTATTAATAGAGCTGATAGTGAGTATTTGAATACTCGATTATTCGAATATTTTTTAACGTGAATAGAATATTATTCGAGTGTTTCAGATAATCGAATACTTGAATTCGAATATTTAGTGAATTTGAAATTTTTTACAGTTTTTTTGACCAATTTCTGTCCAATTTTCTGTCCAGTTTTTGTTAACTTTTATGGTTTTTCTCTTGCTTTAATCACATGCGAATATTCAATACTCACTCAATTCCAGTGTTACCAAATAGAATTTAATAATAATAGTTATCATAGTTATTATAATTGGGTTTGAATGCGTATCATCAAGGAAGCCGTTGGTCGATTACGCGAAATAAATTTTCATTATTCCATTCAGAATCATTCTTTTATTTGCGTGTTTAATAAGTTAAACAATGGTAACATTTACATTTTCCAGGACATGGTCAACGCAAAGTAATTTTGTGAGGTACTTTGTGTATTCTGTTGAATCCAATTTGTTTGTTGGATCATGAAACTTCCAAGGACTCCAACGATAATCATTTGCATCTTTTGACCGATGAACCATCGCAGTGATCACAGCCTGACTTGGCTTAACTTGGATTGAGAAATTGGCTCTTTCATAAGTAGACCAGGATTCATTCGATCGAGGATAGAAATACTGTTAAAATTAAAAGGAAACACGAATTATTGATTGTGAATGAATGTGTTAAAAAACCAGGGATGAATTGTGTTTCATGCTACAATTAGAGACAATAGTTGAGTTTTTAATGTAGATTATGAAGGGCGATTGAACCTCGATGATCAGATGAAGTCAACTGGAAAGTGTAGTAACAGAATAGTAGTAGTTAATAGAATATGGAATGTTGAATTTTCATGTCAGATTCAGATTGAGCGAAGCCAAAAAGAAAATCACAAATATTCAATTCATCAAATGGAATAATCCAAACCACAATTGAATAAATTGATAAAACTTGTGCTAAAATTTCTTATGTTAAATCTCTGAAATAATCAACTCACTTGATTCAATGAATGATTGTTTCAATTATTCTGAACAGAAGCTTAAATTCACTTTTGTATCATGGATGAAGTTATTGCTAATCGTATAATGCTAAATCTTGATAATGATAATACTCAATTTATGTAAGTGGTAGGAGATTTCACGATTAAAATAAAGCTTGGTGAATGAACTAACCTCTCCTGATAATATTTTGTCAAAGGTTACATTGGATCCGCAGTTATTTTCTTGGAAAATGGTTTGCAATTCATGCACTAAACCTTTAGCTGCATAAATAGGCCAATATCTAATAGTAGGATTGACCCCAACTCTTCCATTACAGGCACAGTAATCTTGGCTGATGTTAGCATCTTCACAGGTCCGACTAATAGGAATTTCTTCGCGAAAAAGTGAATATGCAACTGGAATTTTTGTGCGAGTTCCAACTGGTTTGAATAGACCTGAAGAGGGATAAAACAAGAGAAAGGACTTGTATCACAAATCATGGTTAATCTAGATGAATAATCGAATCGGTCATTTTCCACAACAAAAATACCAGTCAAATGAGACATTTTATAATCTGATAGTGTTCAAATTAAAAGTTTAAGCAATTGAAAAGTTTATTACCCTGAGCTGTGTCAAGCAATATCTGATGAATATCATACCAACTTGTCAGTCGATCTTCATTTAATGATAGATATTTCCTCAAATGAGGATACTTTGAGTCCAAAGAGTCTGGAATTCTAATGGCGAAAAATGGAAGACTTCCTTCAACTCGGGCATATGGAGTTTCTATCTGATCACCCCAAGGCTTCACCCATCTACCCATTCTAGGCCCATGATCACCCATAAAGATAACAATTGAATTGTTCAGAACTGAAGGTGACAAAGAGTGTAGAAAGTCTGCCACAGGTTGATCAACCATTTGGAAATTATTGAAGTCATCATGGGTCATTTGGCTGTGAAAGGCATATAAAAAGTAAGGCTTCTGTTGGCGATTGATCACATCTTCGGCAAATTTGGAACACATGGTTAAAAAGAGTTCTAATTTGCTTCCAGCTTTCTCAAAACAATAGCGCAAAGGGTTATCCCAATTATCGAACAAGTTACCAGTTCCATTTGGATACATGTGTACCCAATATTCAACTGGATAAAAATCTACTGGAGGATCACGGAAGCCTCGACTGTAAAACGAGAAAAGACCAAGCATTGGCTGATCCTCTAAGAAACTTGTTACATATCCAGAGTTCTTGAAGGTATCCCAAATGTAAGGCAATTGATGATCCCAGGTAATTCCTGAATAATAAGAAGCTACTTCATCAGTGATTGTCCTTCCAGCAAGCAAAGCCATTGAATTGGGAAAAGAGTTTTCTTCAACTCGATTTAAACCCTTAAGATGTTGAAAGTTACCAATATCGTGCATCGCTTGATTGATGGCAGGCATAAAGCGTTGGTAGCTCAAGCGACTCAGAGATTCAACCACTAAAATTATTACGGAGGGATGTAAGTCATTATTAGTTAATGGCACTTGTTTGAATGTAGGAACATGGAAATGGACATTGCGATAGATAACTTGTTTTGTTTTTTGATCGATACAGCTAGTGTTTACAACATTTGCATCGTTTCCAAATTGAACACCATCGGTTGGAGGAATCACTTGCACAGGGCCATAAGAAACACTCGAATCAGATCCATTTCGATATACCCATGAGTAGTAACAATCAATATCCTCATCGATATCATCTGGGATTTGGATGACCAAACGATTGTCTGAGCTAATAACAGTCAACTCGGTTGATTGCTCACAATGAAAAGATGCATTGAAGATGTAAGGCAATATTACCGGATCAAATGGATCAATTTCAGGTAATACGCATCCAGGATTAGAAAGCTTTGCATGCTCATTTTCATCGGTATTGTTGACCACTTGAGGATAACAGACGTTTTTCTTGAAAACCTGTGTGACAGTATTATACGTGGAAATGTTGATAATCAACAAAACTGCAGCTAAGATTAAACATATTATACTGAAAAGAATCTGTATCTTACTCCTACTCATGATAAGCTGAAAAGTGTAGAAACTAGGTTTAGGTTTTAGGTTACTTTAAACATTTGCAGGAATTTGTTTTGCACAATAAATACTGAAATTAATTTACCCGATTTATTCTCACAATTTTCATTATATGAGCATCAATAAGCAGAAAATTCTCATAAGTACATCATATTTTCATCATCAAGTCACAGAAACATAGGAAACACATAAACATGTTTCTCGTGCTATCGCTGTTTAAATAGTAAAAGTTTTATTTTACGGCAAACTTAATAGCAAATTCCGATAACAGAAGCTAGCAGTCATGTGAACAAACAAACATCTGAGTAATAATTGATTATTTAATGTCAATGTTAAAATTTAAAATTCGTTTGAGTGTTTATTTCAATGGTAACATTTACATTTTCAGGACATGGTCAACGTAAATTAATTTTTGAGATACTTTGTGATTTCTGTAGATTACAATTTCTCATGAAAAACATTTAGCTGATACGACTTTTGATGACTAACCGGTAAATACACTTTTTGTGAAATAAAACTCTGTTTCAGTTATTATAAAAGGATAACTTCGATCTTTAGTTTAGCCAACTGCTTTCTGTTACCATAAGAGTTAGCGATATCTCGTAAGAAAATGGTTGAACTTTTCTGAAAATTCAATATGCGATAGTAGAATAGTGTAGCTTTGGTATCTGAGACATACAAAATGAAAAAAAAACAAAGGTCAATTCACAATCATCGCTCAAACTCGGAAGAGAAAAAAGAATTTGAAAATTTCTTCTTCATACAGATTAAACTCTTATGAACACAAAAAAATTTGTGAGACTAACTCAGGTGTCTCTTGAAATGATTAACATGATTAACAATATTCAACATCTTTAAACACAGTTAGCAAAGCAATATGAAGCCATAACCTGCATAATATTTTTGTTCAAGTCTCGAAATTTAGGTTGCTGAAAAATTTGTGTTCAAACAGGTTTGAAGAAAAATACAGAATCCGTATCTCTCACTATTGACTTCTATAATGAATTTATCCGATGGTTTTCTTCTCTTTTTGTGGTCTTATTCGCGTCAATTGTACACCTTTTTAATAAATTTAAATTCAATGTAAAACAAACAAAACTGCCTTTTTTAGTTAATGCGTCAAAGTGTTTTAATTTACAAACAAGTTTGATTAGTAATGTTTTCTCCCCCTCTTATTGACAATAGATGTTTTTAAACCATGATGAGACCTTGAGAGAGGACCGTTTGATCATACGATACTTCACTTCCGAAATGGTTATAAAGTTAGTGATGTAATGCTTCAAAGAGTAGTATAAAAGAAAATGAATTCAAATGAAAATACATCAGTTGAAGATTAAATTCTAAATAGTAATTAAGTGATCTCTCAATTCTTTAAAACTGTTTAAAAAAAGTAAAAATGCAATTGATTAAAATTGTATTCTCTGTCTTTTTAGTAGCTATCATTGCTATGTTTGGGTCTGTTGAAGGACAGACTCTTAGTCCTGCAGCTTTTGGGACTGCAACTGCAGATCAATATGGTACTATCCGTGATTCGTCCGGTGCTGTGATATACCTTGATATGACAACTCCTAGCATGGACAGCGTCACGATGGCAAAAATGGCAAAAATGTAAGACTCGTGGCTACTATTGAATAGCGTCAAGATGAAATTTGGTACATTTATAGGTATTATCAGTAGAGCAAAAGTTTTATTACCCAATAAATCAACCAATTTCTTCTGTTTATTAATAATCAAAAGCATTGTTGCAGAATTTAAAAAATTATACAAATTTATTCAATAAAGTTGATTTTATTTAGCCAAATTGCAAAAGGCAAATTTATCTGTTTTGCTCTTCATTTTATATGCTTCGTTAAATTGAAAAGTTTTGTATGCGATCGGTTTGCATTCTTATTTTATTCAAACTAATCAATTTATGATCAACGACGCGTAGTGAAACGCAGTGAAGATTTTAACTCAGCTTAGCCATTTTGAAAATTGCCTTTTAATTTATTTCTTCACGGCTTTATAGCAAATTCCGATAACAGAAGCTAGCAGTCATGTGAACAAACAAAAATCTGAGTAATAATTGATTATTTAATGTCAATGTTAAAATTTAAAATTCGTTTGAGTGTTTATTTCAATGGTAACATTTACATTTTCAGGACATGGTCAACGTAAATTAATTTTTGAGATACTTTGTGATTTCTGTAGATTACAATTTCTCATGAAAAACATTTAGCTGATACGACTTTTGATGACTAACCGGTAAATACACTTTTTGTGAAATAAAACTCTGTTTCAGTTATTATAAAAGGATAACTTCGATCTTTAGTTAAGCCAACTGCTTTCTGTTACCATAAGAGTTAGCGAACTGAAATTTATCATTTGTCGAGGAAAATTGTTGAAACGCATAAATGATTCTCAGTTTATTGGCCGTTGACCTAAAATCTTTGAGTATCAATATTGCGGGATTGGCATCATCTACAAACATCGTTCTTGACCAAACATTAGATTTTATTATGGGCTATAGCATAATAAGACTAAATACATAAGAAAATTTCAGCTAACTTTCGAAATATTGAAGCTCAAACTTTTTGGGGCCCGGATGGCTAGTGGCACGAATCAAGAGAACTGTCTATAAATTGCAAAATAGTGTCCAATAATTGATGTTTGACTACAATTTTTATCGTCTAATGCGTTTCAACTCTCTAACTCTTACGATCACTCCAAGCGCCAGGTTTAACCGAAAATCAAACTGATCTTTTCAGAAACAGACACAAATACATAATATACAATGTAATAACACTATTAGGCTCAATTTTTGTTGCCATACAAGCTTACAAAGTCCCTAATCTTAGCTCGAAAGTAATTTTTTTACAATTTCTCATTTAGACCAAAAACTGTAATAAATAATAAAACAAACACCAATAAATTAACTAATAACAAATTAAAATTTGTGCAGCCACGGAATGGCCATTTTACGTCCATTTGCGTTTCAATTATCATAGCACATAAAATGAATGTGAGTAAACGAATAACACAGATGATCAATATCAAGCTTTTAATACATTATTATATCATAACATATTGTCATTGCAAAAAAGAAGTACATATTATCATATAATATCAATAGAAAGTGAAGAGAAAGAAAATACAAATGAGATTTATAGTGATCTCTGTAATGAGTTAATGAAAGGACAATTAATGTACATTATCAATTGATTAGTCAAAGATGAAACAATGATGGCAATGATGGCTGCATGAAGTTGATGCAGATGATGATGATTGTGATAGTGATGACAGTAATTAGAGAAATTGTTTGATTTGTAATTAAGGGTGAGTTTTTTGGTGTAATGCAGGGCAAAAAAAGAAAAGCAAACGACAATAGAAGAAATGAAATGTCACACACACTTAGTATAAAGCGACAATTTACTCTGTTGATTCCATTGATTTTGATGGAGAGAATAATTAAGGAAGAAAAGTAAAGTGTCAACACAAACAAAGACTGATGAATTTCCCCTTTCCTTTTTTATACACAACCAGGTAAATAATGATTCACCAATGAATTGCCTTTGAAACCAGAAGCCAAAAATTATTTGCCTGAATTTTCCATTTCCTTCTGTACTTGCAATTGCCATTCAACAAGGACCTTTATGAAGAATTACAATATCCGTTTGATGAAGACAAGAGGCTCTTAACATTTGGCATTCAGATTGATATGTATTGGAATCAGAACCACAGACGATTGAATAATCCATCGAGGAATTGGAGACATCAGTTGAATTGTTTTGACAATTAATATCACAGATACATTGGGCTATGTTACCATTTTGAACACAAACTGCTCCATGGAAACATTGGATATCATGGCAAGAACCATTACGAGGGAAAGCAATTGAACCTGTTAAGAGGAAAAGCAAACAAAAGTTAGAGTCAAATCACAATTGATAATTAATAATTAAACATAATGTCTAGTATCAGAGACCAAGATCTACCAGTCAAATGTGCAAGTTGTAGACAAAAAGGTTGACCATAGTCACCGTATCAAGTATTCATAACTTGGATTGAATATCGCAATAAAAAATTCATCCTTCACAACTATTAATACATTATATGGTTAAATTGGATGATTAAAAGAGGCCCTGACATTCAATTAAACAATTTTCATTTTAAAGAAGATGCTGATCAAATGAACCCAAAACTCAACAAAAGTGACAACTGACGATGAAATTTATTCTGTCTGAAAAAGTCAATAGTAATTTGCATTTTAGAGAGTTTGCTCGACACTTCTAATCAAATACAAATTGTTAATAAAATTGGTTATTATTAAAATGATTATAATCATGTTTAACAGAGTAAACAAGTCTAAATAAAAGCTTACCCAAAAACAGGTTGGCAGAGAAGGACAAAAAAGAAAGGAAATGAATAATCAGGGTGAAGATGCAAAGAAAATCTCTTTTCCTCTCTTTGGGTTAATCAAACAATTTCCTGAATCACAAATGTTGTTCATCCTAAAATTGAATTGAATTCATTGGGAATTAAATTAACCAAATAAAGTGGCAAGAAAATAAAAAACAAAAGGAAAGAGAAACTTGCTCTTACACTTCAACACTTGTACAATAAATTTCATTAGCAACTGATGGCGTTGTCGTTGATGATAATCATGGCAATTGATGAAAAGTAGAATCTAAAATTACACTTGTAATGAAAAAAACTGGCCCATTTGACTTGTTAATTTAAGCAATAAATAAACATTGAAAATCAAAGTTGATTCCAAATAAAATCCAATTTCACCCAAAGGATAATAGTTTTATCATAAAACAATATTAACCAATATGGTAACTGGCACATGATGATGAAGCAGCAAATATAGAAAGAGTTTAAACAAGCGCTCCTTTTTAATTATCAACATTTCCATTGCCTTTGAATTTTATTTGAATTTTATAATAATATTCACTTCAATCTTTACCTGTTTCAGTCTTACATGTTTTAATAATCTCTTATTTTTACTTAAAATGGTTGAATGTATTAATCACTTTTAAACCATTTGCACCAGGCAAGGTTGAATGTGAAAAAACAAGATTTTATTGATTAAAAGTAAACGTAAATTACTATTCAGAATTAGCTTGATTAGAGTGGATCACCTATTTTTTCACCCTGAACATTGTTATTGTGTATCTCTTTGTATCTATCTATTGCATTATGCTACTGAGTGATCTGTTAAAACAGATAAATTACATTTTTACATAATTTAATTTAGATATAATGTTACATTAATTAATTCCATTACCATCCAGCAACCTTCATTATTAGCTAAAAGCTTTTTTATCCATTTTTCTGCTTCAACAGTATTTGTATATGAAATAACAGCACAATTTTATTTTCAACATTGTTTCCAATTAACAATAATAAAGTTGTGATTTTTTCCTCACAAAATTTGGCCTAAAGATCAAAAACAAAATCTAATTCAACAGATTATATTCATTATGAAGAGTTTCAAATATTTTCAAGTAGCATTGATTAGCAAGATATGGGTTTACGATGCAAAAGACGCGATTAAGTCTATGTTATACGCCAATTTTGGTTGAAATTGAATAATTATTATTACAACAGAATCTGTATTTTGTACAACCGAATTTGGGGGAAAACTCTTTTGTATTTGTACATTGTGTATCTTTTCGATGTCGATTGATTGTACCATTGTCATTGACTATTATGCTATTTATTAAAAAGCTGTTGAAGAGGGCAAGTTGAATAATTTGATGAGTATAGTGTCAAAGAGGATAGATCGAATTGCGATAGTGAATGAATATTATATTCTGAATCTGATCTAATCTTTAAAAAATAAAAAAGTAAAAATGCAATCGATTAAAATTGTATCTTATGTCTTTTTAGTGACACTGATAGCTATGTTTGGTTTAGTTTCTGGGCGAGATGTTAAAGCAATCAACCAGATATGGGATTCTGCCTGTCTATTTGACTGGGATACCAATGGGTAATTTTAATGGAACTCCAAAGACGTTTTGGATGTTCTATTGCATGGAAATGGAATTGAATAGAGACAAGCATCCTGATTCAACCTGACCGTTGCATGAATACAAAAATGGTTAGTCAATACTACCATTGGTGTTCCCACCCTGGGTGTTGTTAATTATAGTTATTTGCTAAAATTATCGAACTAGTTCAACTAGTCTTTGATTATCAATCAGCGAATTTATTGCTTATTTCAGAAGCCAAGAAGTATTATATGAACATGATTTTATTCACTAAATTCAAGTCAATGTAGCAAAAAAGCTCAATGCTAATTCAAACATAAATGATTAATTAACTGTAGTCATTAGAATTGAGATTAACAAGTCTAATCAACTATCTTTAACCTTCACGTTTAAAGTCAATAAAGTTTGTTCAAATAAAACTTTGAGTCAAATGATTCCCTGTAAAATTTTAACTGCATATTGATAACAAAACAGAGCCTCAAAGTACTTGACTAGATTAGTTTTACATTTTGATCTTTTTTTTGTAAATTTGCATTTTCACACACACATACAAGAACAACAACCTTTATTAGCTTTACTTTGAACAATCTGTTTATCATGATATGCATCTTTCAATTGAACATTATCATTCTTCAAGGTTGAAGATGGAGTAAAAAAGGAATAAAGAAAATGGAAAAAAAGAAAGAAAATGTTTCAGTTTTGGTTGATTGGACAAATCTCAATATTTACTCAACTCTATTTGAGTAAAAGTAAAAAAATTGAAGACAAAATGCATTTTACTTTTTCGCCTTGCTTGAACAATCCATTGAATGGTCGTAAATAAAATTACAATTTTTGAACAATTGAAAAGCAAATCACAAAATTGTTGAAACAAATTGACCCAGCAACACTGTTGAGCCTTCAATTGAACCAGAATATCCCTTTGATTTATCTTCATCACCATCTTTATCTCAAGTTCTTATTCTCATTCTTCTTAACCTTCTTTGTTCCGATTTTTATCATCTTTGAATCATCTTCTTCATCTTTACTCTTTACAATCAAAATCATCTGTTTAAGCTTTCGTTTCTTCCCTTTTTTCACTTATAAATGTTGCTATTACGGTAAATCAATTTCATTGGATAAAGTGTTCATTGATGTTGCACTATCGAGAAAGCAAGAAAAATCATGGAACACAGGAAAAAAGAAAAAAGAAAGAGAAAGAATAAAGTGAATTGAGTGAATCAACGAACCAGATAAAAATAAAACATGAGAATATCTTTAAACATTAACATGAACATTCTCATGGTTGGGACATGAAAATGCAGGTAAGAATAGTGCTTTGATTTATTCAATATCATAGATTAGTTTGCAAGAAAAATACTGACAAAATGATTAAGCAAATACAAATGGCTACAGATGAAACTAGTACAATCAAATTAGTTGAATCAAATTTTGCAATTCAAAGCAAGCAAATTAAACAAAATAAGACGAACTCTTGAATCAAAGCGATTGAAAAGCTTTCTGCGAAAAGGTTTGCCTTTTCATTTTGGGATTCAGCTCAACATCAGTCTACATTTTCGATTTCATTTGAAATATTTTTGAAAGAAGAAGCTGATAAAAAATTAAGGTCAAAATATTTACTTGCCACAGTTGCTTTGATTCAATCAGTTTCACTATTAATAGCAATGAATTTATGATTGAAGATGGGCTACGACCCGCATTACTTCGTTGAGTTAGCTAGCCAAGAAATGAGTGGCTCAGAATCCACTCATCTTGTGGTCATACAAGGAAAAGAAAAAGAGGGAGTTGACAGCAAGCAAGAGATAAAGAAAGAGACGAAAAATGACAAAAAATAAATTTTTGATGAAAAAAGTTTAAAAAATCAAGAAATTACAGGTTGACACGGTTGAAATGAAAGGATTTTGAAGCTTAATAACTTCATGGTCTTTTGCTGAAATTAAATTTTATTTTCGATATGTTGACCATTAGAGTCATGAATTGCTCTTAGTCTTTTTGGCCAAGACCTGAGCGCGTTATTTATCATTTCTTGTGGAATTTTCCGCAAGCAGGTTCTGATGGATTTTTTTAATTCATCTTCATTGGTAACTTTCGTTTTGTATACCATGCTCTTGAGCTTTCCCCATAAAAAATAATCACATGGAGCAGCATCAGGGGAGTTAGGTAACCATTCTTCAGGGGTTATATATTTGATTTTTTCAATTTTGAGAAATTCGCGCGTTTTTTTGGCCGTATGAGAAGGTGCACTGTCTTGATGAAAAATGAAGTCAGAATGTAGAAGGATTGTCAGTGGCGCTATCGCGTTCTGCTTTCTTCTCCTTATCCTTATACCTACAAGATAGCGCATAGGTAGTACTGCTAACTCTTATTGTGCTCTTTGTTTGGAAAGCGTCACATTTTTTCAAAGAAATATTAATAAGTTCACTTTACATAGAAATATGATGCGGAAGAAAACCAATTTCGCCTAAAAAGTGAAGAAGGTATGTAAAGCAAAATCTCACTTTCGCTTATAATAAATAATAAATCGTGTAAATAATGATTTTCCGAAAGAGCTTGTTGAACAACTAGGTTTAACTTGAAAATGGGCATTGTACGTATTGTGGCTAAATCACAATCGCGGCAAAAAGGTAAAACATTTTTGTATAATATCACACAATTGAAACATGATAGATGGCTGAAACTAAAGATATGCCATTCTCTGATATTCAAACATTGACATACAAAGCATAAAAGCCCTCAGAGTTATCAGTTCTATAAAATATCAAAAGATCAAGACTTTTTTGCGTCAAATATAGAATAATTCATCTTGCGATATTTATTTTTAACATTTCATATTGACTAGTAGAAATCTAATATAAAGACAGCATGATTTTTCAGCTTTCATCTTTATAATATATTATACTGTACG